CGGCGCTCCCCTGCAGCTTCTGCCGGTGCCGCCGGGCACAGCAGAGCCCAGACCCGCGGGTGCGGGGCTGCCTCGCCCTCCTGCCCGCGTCCCCGCCGCTGCTTGTCTGTTTCAGCCTGTTCCGCGTGTGAGCGCTGCTCCTGTTGTTGCTCGGGCTGTTCTTGGCGACGCTACAAAGCGTGAACTGGGACTAGTGAATGTAACACTGATGCTTAGGGCTCAGATGCAAACTGGGTTGATGCTCTGCTGGTCATCGATACCAAGATACAGGGTCTAACCTGTGTCCCTGCTTTTTGACGTCCTTGTAACTCAGTTATCTTTCCCTGTGTATTTCAGGCTATTCTTATATTCTGCTGGGTTTACGTGCGCAAGTATCAGAGTCGGCGGGAGAGTGAAGTGATTTCTACCATCACGGCTATCTTTGCCTTGGCAGTTGCTCTTATCTCATCTGCACTACTACCAGTGGACATCTTTTTGGTTTCATATATGAAAAATCAAAATGGTACATTTAAGGTATGGGCTTTTAAAAACGTTAACTGCCTCTTCAAAAGAAACACTTGTGTTAAAAGATGTTCTTGAGTTGTCAGTGTTTAAAACCAATGCTAATACCTGTTCAAGTGCCTGTTGTTTTTTTGGAAGGTGGCAGCTAGTATTGTGAATACAACACTGAGCTCTGTTTGTTGTTGGAACTGAATTTCAGTTTGCACTTACATTCTTTAGTTTTAATACTCTACTCATTTCCAAACACTTATTTCTTCAGTTGTGCTAAAAGGAGTGTGTATGCCATCCTGAAGATGCCAATAAATCTCTTTAATGTTTCTTTTTAGTACATCATAATGGGGTATTGTAGGATGGAATTTGTTGGCCCATGGTTCAAAAACAGACTGTATTGCCCATTTGCAGTTTAGGATTATTATGATTGTCTCTTTTGCCATCATTCTCTTATTCTGGTACTGGAACATTAAGAATTACAAATATTTACTGTGTTAAGCTACCTATAATGTAGAGCCTGCATTAATAAGCACTTTTTTTAAAGTGGGAAAGCTGGAGAAACTGTTGAGGAGGGGAATATGGTAGTATCTCTTCTTGGCTGATGCTGTCTTAACTGAACTACTGTTTTTATAAACTTAAACTGTAGGGAGTTACTATGCAAAATGAGTTCTTAATGAGATGAGTACTCACTGCAGTCTGCTCTTAAGTATTACTGTAAGTATTCTTCCCAGTGCTTAAAACACTGGTTTTTTTAGTTATCAAGAAGACTTCTTGAAGGTAGTGAACTACTGTCTTTGAGGATGCTGTTGTTATAAATGAGTCAAACTGGAGCATATTAATAATTTCAATAACTTGGTTGGATCTATAGTAACAGACAATCCTGAAACAAATGGGAGAGTGGGCAGATGGTAAATGCCTGCACACTAGTCTTAGGCTGTTTTCCCTTCTAGCCCTGCTTTCAAAGGAAAACCTAGGTCCTTGCCAGATCCTTGGTAATGCTTGAGAACTAGCTTGCAGCCAGTACAGTGCCTTTTGGCTGGTGCTCATGTAAATGCAAGTCATGAGAAGCCTTTAGATTTGTGCTGTGGCGTGATTTTTTTGTTGTGTTTATCACTCTGTGATAAACTGGTGAAAATAGTTAAGCTATTGTTCAATGTTATCATTCAAAGTTTGTGTCTTCAGACCTTGCTTGTTCAGAGATAAAATGGATATAGAAGGTGGAAGAGATCTTTCATATATCACAATGCTAGCAGTTCAGTAAGAATAATATGGAGTATTAAGTGTGTTGAGCCTGACTAAGTAGAGAAATAACAATGATGTAACTAGACCCAGTTGAAAAATACACATCTGGAGACAAAGCAGAATTTCCTGTTGCAAAGGAGACCTACTTGTTAATACATAAATTCCCTGATTTGAAAAACAAATCTGTGAGGAGAATAGGAGACCAAATGTTGTCATGCAGTCACTACAGTCTTAGTTAGGAAGCATTATTAAGAGAAGGAAAATTACTATACTTAAAATACTGCTTTTCTTGAGCTAGATCTCTTTCTTAACAGCCACATGCTGTGATGTGATATGGGGTGGATAGATTCTGTTTGAAAGCTTGCTCTCAGGTAGTTTTCATTCTTGTGGTAAAGCTTTTACATCTTTCAAGTACCTTTGCGTAGCTTCGGAGGTTTCTTGGTCCTGCTTAGTTCTAGATGCTGCTGGTGGCCTGTTGAAAAAAAATTGCTCCATACTGCCTTGCAGAAGAATTCTTCCTTCTCTATTAAGGCTCAGCTAAATGAGTTTCTACCTTTGCAGCAGTAACATATCCATGATATTAAAACATTTGTTCTAACACAAGTATGAAATTGTGATACAGAAATATTAACATGGTCTTCCTGATAAAGGTGAGTGGGTCTGAAGTCATAACCTGCAAACCTATACATAAACCAATAGCTTTATTGATATGTCTATTTCAAGTTAGGAGGTTCATAGCATCTTAATGTGACATCTTCATGGAGTGTTACTCAGTGTTAAAAGCTTTAATGTGCTGTGTTTCTGCTACTGCTTTACAAGTAGAACATACTGTCTTGGGTTCAGAGAATTTCCAAGAGTCTACTGCCTTTCCTCTGGACCGTTCTTTCAAACCCAGCACCTCTAAGGCCCTATATCTGATGCTGGGGTCTGAAGGGCTATGACTCTGGCAAGAATTCTTTGTTGTTTTGGATGGCCAGAGTGAGTTAAATCTTCACTAGATTCCTCAATGAATTTTTGAGATCTGGTAGCAGATGTGGATAATATTCTCTGTAGATAGAATATTAGTTTATCAAAATGTTTACAACTTGATGATTTCAGAGTTAATGCCAAAAGAGTAGTGGCAGTTATCCAGATCCTAGGTAAACAATTTTTTTTCTGTACATGCTCTTTTCCTCTATCTCCCAACTGTAATTCTCAGTATCAGTGTTAGATGAGAAAATCAAGGATGCTCAGCTTACAAGGAAGAAGTACTATCTGTGAACTTTCAGTTCATTTTTAATGCATCTGACCCTACTATCAACTTGCAGATATTATTAAGGTTTTCCTGTGAACAAACTTGTAGCAAACAGGGGGAGACGCATGTTATACTAATAGCAGAGGTTAAATTGAAGGCATAGTCTGATGGTTCAGAGTTCTTATTGTGGATTGTGTTCAGTGGCATTTGAAGGTATGTGTCCTGGCCACAAGGGTTGGCTTAATTGTTTGAAGTGTAGTACCCAGGCAGATAACCCTTACCTAAAGGCTATCAAAATGATGCTGCTTTCTGGATGAATTAAGTTAAAACAGTGTTGTCTAGCCCTTTTTAATCATGTACTCTGAGGTGTCTTGCTTGACCAGGGCCATATACTCTACCTAGATCAATCTTTGTTAACTTTGTTTTTCCATTTCAACAAGACTGTTAAGTTTAATATACTGTTTGTACATCTTTCGGTTAAGACAAGTTATTATCTACTGCAAACAAGTGGCTTGTGGCATTTGGTACCTGTTGGTGTGTGCCAACATAATTTGTGAGACCTATCAAATACTATCTTAAAGCTTTTTACAGTGAGTGAATTGAACGGTTTTGGTATTAGAAAGTTTTGTGCAGTAGTTGTGTAATCCTTTAGGAAAAGCAGTGGTGCATAGACTTGGGTGGTCATTATTCCTAAGTACATTGCAACACCACCTTTTCTAGAGGCTGGGGATTACTTTGATTCATAGTGCTGATAAGTAGGAAAGCAGGCTTTTGGTTCTAGTACTAATCAAAAGAACCTGATTATTACCTTGTAAGTAAAGTCCTGATGGTATTCACTGGCACTATTTTTATCTTGAAGGCTTTGACTGTTTGCATTGACAGTGCTTTAGTTTGTGCAATGGACTTCACATACATCCAGTTGAATCTGATATGTTTGATCTGAAAGCTTGTTTGATTTATAACAAGCACTTAGGAACAGAAAACCTCACCTAAAGACTCGAAGATTGCTGCCAGAACCCAAGACCTCTGGGTCTGACCTACAAGTCTCATAAATATTTAAAACATAGCTGATGCTGTCTTGCAGCAGGAAGACTGTTTGAAACAAGGATGTTAGAAAAGATAGCATGGTACTACTCTACTGTTGATGCAGCAGAAGGCAGAGAAGGTGATGAGAACTGTTCTTCTTGAAATACATGTATTCTTACTTCTACATGAAGCTAAAAGCCAGTGACATTTCTTTCAGTCTGGTTAGATGGAACACCTCACAAACTGTGGGTGTCTGCCTGATCTGTTAAAAGCCAGTTGTCTCCTTAATTCAAGGAGTAGTATGTGTTTTAATGGGAGATCCTTTCTGCAGATCATTCTAACAAGATGTTTTGCTTCTTGGGGGGAAACTCATTATGTAGCTGCTCAGAATACACAACTGCTAAAAATGTCAGATTTTTTTATTTTAGAAAAGTGTTAGCTGAGAAATCATTATTGACTCAGACCATGTTTTCTGTCTTGTAGGAATAACTACTTGTAAAGTAACAATACTTGGCTATAATATTCATGATAGTCTGTGGCCAAGATGCGTATTTCTGGATGTTACTCTCCATCTGACAGCCAAAATCCTGACTCTATCTCATTTTGGAGGTAACAGGCTGGAAGATTCAAGACCTAGATATGAAATTTCTTTATATCTAACCATGCTATGACCCACTCTCCATTCTTTGGTAATATATCTTTCTTTTGTTGGCTAAGCTTTGGGAGAGGCTTATCATTAGAATGACTGCTTCATCTACATTTGATGAAACATCACAAATACTGAAGACTGGAATGTTATACTACTTTAAGCTCTATTAAGATACATTGTAGAGAGTGAGAGCCATCTTCGCTGAGTATTCATGAAATTCCTGCAGGGTTCAGTGGTGACAGTAGGAATGTTCCCTTTAACAGGTACCAAAGAATTAAATTCATGGCCATTCCCTCACCAAAAAGTGGGAAGCTCAAAAATGTCACATTAGCTTGTACTGCTTTTGCTTGGGTAAGTTGTCTCTACAGTTTTGATGGTACTGTTCTATTGAAATATGTTAATATAAGTTACTAACTGGACACATTTACAGGTAGAAGGTGGACTTTGCTCAATGATTACTGGGGGAAGCAACTGTTCTTCATAACTAATTTTCTATGAATGTATTTAGAATATGAAACTTTTGAGGGAGCTTTGCTTTGGTTTTATCTTTTTGGTAAACTGGAAGTGTCTTAAACTGCCTTTTTTATATCCTTATTTATGTAGCAACATTTTACTAATCTATTTACTTTTTACACTTTATATTTCAGTTTCCTGAATCCTTCAACATGGCTTGTGTAAAGGAATACTCAAGAGTAATAACTTAATGTAGACTCTCGTGCTCATTGCACATATCCTCACCAATTGTTGATTCCCTTATCTATCAATGCAGTGCATTGTTACATGTATTTTAAAGGTATGATGTATTCTTGCTAAAATGCATGGGGCAGATTGAAGTACAGCAGAACAGTACAGAGTGTCTGAATTCTGTGGATCTTAAGAGAATTTGTAGTCAAATTTTCACATCTTAAACTACTGTTAAAGGTAGTAATGAATTCTCACGGACCTAATATATTGTGCTTCTAAGGTATTTGCTGTATATATTGCAAGCTTGGACCATAATGGATGGAGAGGAAAACAGACTAGATCTAGAGTCTTTCCAGATGAGCTCTCAACTGAGTCCTGGATGTGCTTGTCCAGTAGATTCACATACCTACCAATTTGATATATCAGCACTGCTGCTGAGAATGTAAGGGCTGTGACACAAGGTAGTAGTGCTTCTTGCTTTTGATGAGACAGTGCTGGTGTCACTAGCTTTTGAAATAGCTAACATGAACTGGTTATTGCTTTTGAGCTGCTGCTGCTGTGTGCATATGGATAATTTGCCAGTTAGAACAAGGATTTTTACCTCCTTAGTTTATTTAAGTGTGGGGCTTCAGCAGCTTACTGAAAGCTGTTAATAGATATGATATACTGTCAAATTGGATTGTATTACATGTTCTTTTTGTGTAGAGTAATGCAGAGTCTGTAAGTTTGGGCACATGTACACAGTGGTGAAATGCATACCTCTTTGTTTACATCTTTTCATGTAAGATATCTCAATAGTTTAATGTGCTGTAATGTGCATTTCCTGGTATATTACTCCGGTCCTGTACATAAGTGTTTTAACATTTGTAATAGGACACAGATGTAGAACTTTATTAATGCTTTTCTGGAGTTGGAGAAGCAGATTTTTGGCAGTTAAGCCCTCTTGTATTTCAATTACTAGCTATCACTTAAACTTTGGGTCTTACTGTTGCTTTTCTTGCTTATTCATGGTTGGTATGGGTTTTGAATGTCTTCATTGCTCATAGGAGAGACATTTTTCAAATAATTATTTGGAAGTAAATAGTGCCACCTGTGCAGTTCAGTCTTGTTTTTCCCTTAGGCATAATTAAAGCAATGCATTTCCTTAATTTATAACACTAGGCAATTTAAACACTTTAATATTCTGTATATGTATGCTTAACTTATTATGATCAAATTCTTTCATGGTGTTCATATAAATAGCTAGAAACTTTTCAGTTGAAATGCTGTGGGGCTTAAGCCTGACAGTCTTCAAAGATTGGGCTTACTGTGTACCTGGCAGACACTTTAAGGTGTTGCTTCTGTCCTTTCTGCTAAAAAACTTTTCAACCTTTCTTTTTGCTGTGTAAATGAAAAAAGTATACTGTTCTAATCAAATTCCAGTTGGATGATAATCTAAGACAAGTGAGCTTTGAAAGCTTAATGTAAAGTGGCCTACTGGAAGTCTTAATATAATAGCACAAAAGAAAAGGTAGTGCTGGTTTTGAGATAATAGAAAAATAAAGTGTTTATGGTATGTCATCAAGCCCATATTCCATGAGAGTTTAGGCAGTTCTGAGAGAACTGATAAAGCAAGTGTCAAATTTTAAGAATCATGTGCAGTCTAAGTAATATGTTCACTTGCATTTTTCATATGCTCTGTAATTAGTGCATGCATCTTTATAACAACTGAAAGGGTGTGAGCTTATTAGTTTGCAAAAAATCCTATGCATGGAAATTGAAAGCAGCTTTGGCAGTACTGTGTCTTATTTTGTCACTAATTCAGTTATGTTGGTGTGTCTCCAAAATAGCAGCTTTTGAAGAATTTTGTTTCTGGATAACTACTTTCTTGACTGCATGTGGAGTGGATCCCCCAAGACTTGAACAATTCTGGAATATGTTTAAGCTGTACAGGCAGGCTTGGACCTTTGGAATCAGTCCTTAGTTTGGCTGCCAATGATTGTTACAAACCATTTAGCTTTCTTAAACCAATAGGCCCTCTCAAGGAGAAGAAAAAAGGATGTGGGCAGGAATTTGATTTCAGCCTTCTGGCTGGGTGAAGTTACCAATGTAGTTAGTTGTATTTTCACTCCCATTCTTTGAACAGTTCTCCAGGACTGAGTACCACATTTCTGAAAAATAAAAATTTTTGCACAAATAAGGGATATCAATGCTGTTACATTGAGAGTTGTAGGATCTCAATTCTAAAACTCATGGATGGATCTCCAGCAGTTCTGTGGTAAGATTTGAGATATGTTACTCTAATAAGAATTAAGGCTTCTAGATCAGAATGTCATTTTTTTTTGAATAGGAGCTTCAGGAAAACAGTTTGCCCTTTGGTGTTATGTAAAGAGCTTCAGTCCTTAGGCCAGAAACTCAAGACTGATATGATTAGTGTCTAAGCTCTTCTATTGTGCATAGTATCAAGTAATTCAATAACTTTTTTCTAATACCTGATTTAGGATACTATATTTTTTTAAGCTAACTTGAATATTCATATAATTCAAGTCATGGTCAAACTAAAAAGTAAAGGCTCATACTTCTGAAAAGGGAGATGGCTTAAACTGTGTGGGTAGCTAATAAAAAAATAGAAGTTTGTAAGCTACAACTGAGTATAGTAAGCTGTTTGCCATTTTTATGTCTAAGTATCATTGCATCTGTATATATGTCATAGCTATTCTGTGATAGAAATGCTGTTTGCATTCTGTGCACTGTATACTGTGTCCAGCTCTGACCCACAGTGCAAGAAAAACCTAGAGCTGTTAGAGCAGGGCCACAAAAATGGCCAGGGCGCTGGAGCAGCTCTCCTGTAAAGAAAGGCAGAGACAGTTGAGGTGTTTTGGCCTGAAGAAGAGAAGGCTCTAAGGAGACCTATTGCAGTCTTTGAATATAGAGAGGGCGTATAAGAAAGGTGGTGAAATGCTTTTGTCCAGGGCCTGTAGTGACAGGACAAGGAACAGTTTTAAACTGAAAGAGGGTAGATTTAGATTGGACATGAAATTTTTTTACAGTGAGGATGGTGAGACACTGGCACAGGTTTCCCAGAGAAGCTGTGGCTGCCCCCTCCCTGGCAGTGTTCAAGGGTAGGTTGGACGGGGCTTTGAGCAACCTGGGCTAGTGGGAGGTGTCCCTGCCCATGGCAGGGGGATTGGAACTAGATGGATGATCTTTAAGGTTCTTTCCAACCCAAACTCTTGTGTGATGATCTTAAGAAACCCTGTTACCAGGGTGGTGTGGGAATTAGCACAACTCCCTTGGGAGCTGCCAAAACTACTCAATGTTCTGGTCTTCCTTTTATGAAACTGCCCTATGCTTATTCCTGTATGTCCAGTCATTTGCACCCTTGCTACCACTCAGTTACACAGTAACTTTTTAGAAGTACATTTTAAAAATATCTACCTATGTGTTTAATGAATGATTCTCTTGTAGTGTTACTAAATTCAATAGTAACAGGAAGTGAAGTACTGTAGAGATTTTCATAAGAATGTAGGTCTTCACTCATATCTAGACTCACATGCATGAAAAATAGATGTTTGATAATTTAGGGCCATCTGTATAGAATTAATTTTTCTTCCTGATTCAAAGTCTGAGAAAGCAAATTCTGGTTATCAAACTTGATTCTGCTCTTTCTATTGAGTTGCATCTAGAGAACACTTATCTTCATTATTGGACTTTCTTTCTAGAAGGTGTTCCCAAACTCTAGTTTGTGGTGCCATTTCTGTGACTGAAATTCAGTAATATGGTATCAGCCTCAAATAGGGTTTTGGGGCTGCTCTTTTAGCAATTCCCAGTGTCAGCTTCACTGATACAAACCTAGTACTTTTTTGATTGAGAGGTATTGACTTCAAAATGAGTGGATCATTGACTTGATTGGGTCCCCCTATTAATGCTTTGCACATATTTTCTGAAGAGTTGCAAAAGCAGATGTAAATGTGTTAATTATAAAATTAAATCCAATACATCCAACTACTGGGCTGGGTGATTCATGCAGCTTAGTTGTCGGTGCATCTTTTCTAATATACCACACTGCTTCCAAGCCTATCATATGTAGGGTTTTGTAGAAGACTCATCCTGAGGACAGCTTTGTCCCTGTAAAGCTTTGATTTTGAAGATAGTGTCTACTGCAGTGCTAAGAGTCCAGAAGAAAAGGGCTAGAATGGCAAATAACCATACCTGGTCTTTTACAGAACATTTTGAAAAAAAATCTTCAGATTGAGCTTCAGACTGTAGCTGCATTGTCTGACGTGTAGAAAACAAACATCAGTTTCATAAAAATAGGTATTTAGAGTGTTGTTTAAATACATAGTACAGGACAAAAGTAAATGGTTAGCTACTAAAAATGGTATTCACTAATAATTTTATTTCAGTTGTGTGTTGACAATATAATGTATGTTATCTAAGGATTCTTAAACTGGAAAAAAAAAAGCTCCAAGTAGGAGGCTAACAGATAAAGTGAGACTAAGCAGTGGGGATACTGCTGCAGTGTCTGTCCTCTGAAATGCAGTATGGTCCTTAATTATCTTTGTTAGGTGGATTTGCTCTAACTTTAAATCCCAACACTTAAAATGGGTAAACTGGGTTCTTAATACTTTTCATTAAGGATTTGATACAAGCATTTTTTTCAGTTCTATAAGAATGCTTTTGAATGAAGTGAAATTCTGTTTCATTTGATGTTAAATGCCTTTATCCTTTATTTCTAGGACTGGGCTGATGCTAATGTTTCGAGACAAATTGAAGACACTGTACTTTATGGATACTACAGTAAGTATTTTTAACTTTTTCAATTAATAGAACCTCTGAGTGAAGGCATGAAGCTTTTAGGGGTCATACTGGATTATCCCTTTTTGGTTAAACATTAGTCTTACACTTAGTGGATTACAGTGAATATTTTTTTAACATTAAAGAGCCTCCTAAAAATACAAAGTATGCTGAAGGCCAATCCATGAAAATGCTAATAGCTTCAGTTATATTATCTACTGTTAACGTGTTTCTTGTGTGTGCATTTGGAGGTCCATTAAGGGAAACACGTGGTTTTGCTGTAACTTTTATGGCACTTAACATATACATCAGTGTGAAACTTGCCTATTGTATATAAAGTTCATGCAACTGTGAGTGTAATGCTTGTGTTTTAAGTGTTCAGATTCAGCAGCCACCATATCCAAACTAAAAGCTACTGTAAAGCAGCATAAAGGAGTTGAATCAAGAGTCGTAATCCTAAACAAAACTGAAGCAAAAAAATAACTGAAATCACATCTAATGAAATAACTGCTCACCAAACCTGTGTGTAGTTTTAGATCAGTTTATTTTAGTTGTCCTCATGAAAGTCCTCCTAATGAAGAATATTATGTAAGAAGTAGGTATAGAAGAGTGTTATACCACAGTGTGAGTGAAATGCCTGCCTTGGTCAATGATATGAACAAACTCGGAGGTAGTTGCCTGCTTTTTGTCACATTTCCTAAGACTTGAAGTTTTTCTTCTTTGAAGATTATGGGTTGGCTCTCTTGAATATTTTTTTTCAGATCAGAAAATAATTCTTTCTAAATAGTGGACTTTTTGGTTAAGGTAGAGTACTTACTGCCTGCCAGTGATAGTGACAAAAACTAGAATGTGCAGTTTCATATTGAGTGAAGCCTAAAGCCAAAAGTAGTAAGAAACTTGTGTTTTCAAAAGAACTTTTCAAATACTAGTTTATTTTCCACAAAGATTCTTCACTATAGAATAGTGGAATTGTTTTATATTTGCTTTCTACTCTTTTTAGGGTGCCAGGGTCTTGTTTAACAGCCCAAGCATTTCACAACTCCTAATGTGGAACAGTTCTCAAACTCTTCTGTGGGCCATTTCCTATAGATTTGTGAGAATGATGGATGAATTTTTGTAAGATGTTTTGGACCAGCTGTGTCTTTTTAAAGCAAAATGTCTTTTAATAAATCCTGAAGTAATTCATAGAACAGATTTGAACTTAATAATGAAAACCTTCTTGTGGTTTTGACCTGTCTGGACAGGTCTACTTGAGATAATATAGGACTAATGTTTTATTTCATAATATATCCTCCAGATGGTGGTAGAGATTTAAGGATGGTTTTAAAAGTATTTCTCTTTTGTGATCTTGAGGAATGATGCACATTTTCATAACTAGAGCTACACTGAAGTGAATGATAATAGGTAACTTATTTTTTAGAAGTCTCCACCATTTGTATATAAAACCAGAACTTAATGCCTCCCCTGTATCCTTAGGTCTAGTCCTCTGCTGTTGCACAGTGTAGTGGCATGAAAGCTGAGAAAGTTAAACATCCCTTTCAGTCTTGTAAGATTATTTTTTTCTATGTGTATCCTTTTGTAAAAGTATTTAGTCTTGGTGTGGTTTGTTTTTATAAGTAAACAGGATGAACAGAACGGAAATCGCCTTTTGTACTCAAGGACAGTGTCTTGGTTTTAGCTGGGATAGATCTATTTTTTTTCTTCTTAGTAGCTAGAATAGTGCTGTGTTTTTGGATTCAGTATGGGATTTGATATGAGAAGAATGATAATGCCCTGAAGTTTTTAATTTTTGCTAAGAAACCAAGGACTCTTCAACTTCCCATGTACTGCTAGTGTACAGGTGCACAAGAAGCTGTGAGGGAGCAGAGCCAGAGCAATGAACCCAAATTGGCCAATGGAGTATTCCATATCATACAATGTCAGTATATAGATGAGGGTTGCTTGGGAAGCTGCTCTCACTTCCGGGATTCTGGTTTTGGGATTCTCTTTTTCTGGGATCACTAGCTGGGAAGGGAATGGACTGGTCATCGGTAGACAGGTGGTGAGCAGTCGCATCGTGCATTACTCATTTGTATTTTCTATTATTACTATTAGTGCTATCATACTATTTCCATTATTAAACTGTTTTTATCTCAACCTATGAGTCTCCTTACCCATCTAACTACCCCATTCCCTGGGGCTGTGGGAGGGTGAGTGAGCAGCTGCGTGATGTTTGGCTGCTGGCTGTGTTTAAAGCACAACAGTATGCTCTTATCAACCCTAAAAATGCAGTAATAACTGTATGGATCTTACTTACCTCGTGTAGCTATATTGGCAACTTATAGCATGAATAATTTGTATGCTTAAGTCATTGTCCTTCCATCCAAGTCACTTCTAATTGTAGCAAGAAATTGGAGGCTGTGGTTTAACTGATGTTTTAGAATATTAAGGATTACTTTACTACACTTACTGCAGTTTACTAAGAAAGCTGTTGCTACATGTAGAGGAGGGTTTTTTCAGAGTTTTTAGTCTCCTTGAACAATGTTCTCTCATACCCAGCTGGTTTCTTGGCTAGACTGATAGAAAAGTAGAATGGCTTTGTACTAGTAGAATGATAAATGAGTTAGCTTTCAGAATGAAACATGAAATAACTCTATTTTGAAGTGGGACTTCAGTAGCCTAAAAACTTAGGAAACCAGTCTACTGATTGCTTTGAAGCTGTAGTGGCTTAGTGTGTTAATTCTCATAAAACCAACTGTAGTAGAATGTGTCTGCCAGTATTTGAGTGATTGAAGAATGATCAGTGGTTGGCAGATGCTTTAAAACAGCATGTCAGCTTGTGTTTGGAAGGAAAACCCTTTTCAGAAAGGGTTATAATTGGAAACTCTCAACTGCAGTTTCCTCTATACCACAAGGAATCAGTCTGAAACAACTGACAGTGACCTGGAGCTGTGTTCTATAGCTCTTCTTCCTATACTAAGTAAATCTTACCTGTTTGAGTCAGCCTGATGTTCAGTGTACTTTGGTAAAGTTTTGTGAATGGTGAAAGGATGCCATTGGTAGATCCCAGTCTTCCTGTGAGGTAGACCTAGATCTCTTGACCTGCATGTGTTAAGTGTCTCCCAACTGTAGTGTGGCAAGGACTGTCTCCTAGATTCCTTCTGGATCATTTTGGGTGTGTTTTAAAGTCTGTGCTAAACTTCCAATTCTTCATTTCTTTCTTCTTAAATAGAAGTATTTTCTTAAGTCAACAATAGTTTATTATATGGTGGTTCCTAGGTTAAAAAAGGTCTTGAGTAAGAATTGATCCAAAATAGTACTTGATATAACTTGGATCATTTTTGTGTGGAGTTTTGTCTGCTTATTGCAAGTGTTTGATACAGAGTAATTGACATAAGGAATTAGGTGCAAATCAAATGCAGCTACATGTTTTAATGGTCTGGTCTGAGGAGAAGACATTCTAAATACTGTGGAAGACTTGCATAGCTGTACTTGACATATACTGTGGCTTACATCTGTAGGAACACTCTCCTAATAAGTGTGATTTTTAAGAAGCTGTGTGCCAGAACATGTTGAAAGTCTGTTACAGTATTGACACCTGCAGTGGTGAACTGCTTAACTATCCTGCTTCAAACAAGTGTCTGACTTAAAATTCACTACTGTGTTGTATTCCTTAACTTTCACTGGGGAAAACAAAATGTCTGTTTTTGCAGACTTAATGAAAAATTGGCTTAAGAAATTTATTAGATGTGAGAAATATATTTGGGAAGAAACACTCATCTTAGGTTTTCTGAAGTAACTTGTGACTTCTTAGCAGAGGTGAGGGAATATGTTACTAAGTTGCTTAAAACAATGTTTTGTGGTATTGATGTTATACAATGCACTGGTATGAGATACCCTCAGGAAGACCCTTCTGTGTGCTGGAAGATACTTCTGTTCATATAATATTCTTGAGCTGCCCATAGACCCTCAAAAGGATTTGAGAGACTATATTGATCTCATGTACTCTGCTTGAAATCTTCCCAGTTCTTGAATATATTTTGGTTCTTTCTACCTGCTGCATTTTGATATTCTTTTTTCCTGGTGTTGTTCCTAGTTGCCCTTGGATACTACTAGGATAAGAAAAAAAACAAGTCAAAACATAATGAAGGGACCATTGCTATAACTTACTTGAAGACTACTACCAGGTCTACATTTCTCATTGTTTAGGTGTCTTTGTATGCAAAACAGCAGGAAATGAGTAATTTTTATAAGAATTGCTCTCTGAGAAACATCTTTAAAACAAGCAGACATTACCAAGGAATTCTTGCTGAACGTTGCTTAGACTGTGGCAGGAACCATTGTTAGTACAGTGGAGCACTTTTCTGTGATGTATCAGAAGCCTGAAGCACTACCACTGGAAATGTCTTTTGAAACAAAGGCTGGAGCTCTGAACCAGAGCAATCCCTGGTTTAAAACTAAAGTCCACAGAAGTGCAATAATGAAAGCTGAGACAGTCAGTCATGCCACAAGGTCACAGGGGAGTTAGGGGAATAGAATATCTTTGTCACTTGGTTGATGGGCTGTTTGTTGCTGCAAGATCTTTGAGTTTGAAGGTTAGCTTTCCAGGAATTAAAACAACCCTTTTAGTGGGTAGAATAACAGGCAATTGCTTGCCTTTGGGGAGCTAACTTGTATGAGCAGATGAAAGGTGCTTCTCTTCCTTTTTAATAAGTTCTGAAAAATAAAATTAAAAAAACCAGATGATCAGTCTCTTGTCTTGTTGATGGGAACTTTGCCAAATCTTATAAAGTTTCCTTAGTATTATAATAGGAACAATGTTTTATTGCTTTAGCAATATGAGCTATAAATTTAATTTTCAGTTCTAACTAAATTCTCACAGGCAGTTTTAAGACATCTTCTGATGGATGAACAAAAACGTTTGTCTTGGAATGATTTTGCTTGGGAAAAGAAAATGCAAAGCTGCTTTCAAATTATTTTTTTCTTAGTCCTATAAAATTACTATGGTAACAAGGTTTTTCAACAGAGGAACTAGCAGAGCTGTTGCGATATTAAGTGTATGTTGGAGTTTATGCTACTACATGTAAATTTACCATCAAATTGTAATATTAAATCTTGTCTTGAAATAGATTGAAAGCCCATAACTTAGAGAGCATATCCAAGGTGAAATTAAGGTCTAAATGCCAGCAGAGCATTTGTGACAGATGGAAAATTCTGGAATTAGTCTCATGCTGAAACTTGTGTGTGCAGATCATGTCTCAGAGTTGATGCAGAATATGCTATAAGAGTTTAAGGTTTTTAATACAAAACATCGGTTACAAGTCAGCATTGGCTGAGAACTTCAGCTCTTTTAGTAAAGCATAATTTAGAAGGAAATGTGACTATTTCTTGAGTTCAAATAATGTCTGTGGGACAGAAAACTGCAACCGAAGTTGATTGTTCCTCACTTTAGGTGGAGGTGACTACCTGCCAGGCTTGTGAACTGCCTGAAGGTATGTATTATTTTCTGCTTGGGGATTTCCCAAGGTCTTCCCTGAAGAACCCCCAAGGACAATCATTGTAACTGTACAGGTCTGACTTCAACAATTGTGTTGACAGAAACAAAGCTTTAGCTGCACCTGAAATTAACTTGGCTCAATTTTGGTAGTTTATGCTTCTTACTATTTAAGCTATCACTTAAGTATTAAATGTTGATGCTCTCTTGAAATTTAAGTGCACTATTTGTGCTAAAAGAGGTCCTGTTTCCAGCCACATGCTAGTGTGCTTTTTGTCCCCCTGCTTGAGCCATTACTGGCATTTGATGGATGTTTGTGGTTTGCTAACCCAAATTTCAAAATCGGTGAACATTTACTTTGACTCATAGAAGTGCTAAGGTTGGAAATAGAACTCTAGAGATAATCTAGTTCTGCATATTTCCTATTCACAGCAGCTCGTTTATGCCACTCTCCAATTGGATTCTGAATATCTTTGAGAATGGAGACTCTACTATGTCTTTGAGTAGCCTGTTCCAGTTTCTGACGGCAGACAGAATAAAAGATCTTGTTTAAATGGAAATTCCCATATTTCAGTTTGTGCTCATTCACTTTTTATCTTTTCCCTGGACACCACTGAAAACAATGCCACAGTCTTCAGTCCCACCCAAACATTTATACACATCCCAAAGCCATCTTTTCCCATTGAATGGTCCAAGCTCTCTGATGCTCAAGCCCTTAATCATTGTTGCTCTTGGGACTCTCCAGTATGTGTGTCTCCTGTACTGAGGAGCCCAGAACTGGACATGGCGCTCCAATTCTGAAGTGCTGGTGAGACCATATTGATTTGAGAGGGGTAAGTACTTTCTGCCATCTCGTGGTGACAACTCTTCCTAGTGCAGTCCAAGGTGTTAGCCACCTAAGCTGCAAGTTTGCTAGATTTGAGGCTCTTTTCTGCCAGTGTGGTAAGTTAAGGTGACCCAACACAAGGCCGAGCAAACACTGAAGCTGGTGCAAAGAAGAGTTTTAATAGGCCAGGTGGATGGTGGAGAGGAGGAAGTAAGACCCCTCCTGGGATCATATATGACTTGCCTCTTAATGCTCACTGAAGAAGGCATTTCAGCATCTGACTGCTGTGGTCAAGTAAATAAGATTCTGTTTTTTCTTTTGTTATTGGTGTGGAATGCTGATGCGTTTTATGGTTTGTTTCTCAGATACCTATGTTTAGAAGTAAATAGTTATGGCTGAATACTTTAGATACACCTATCCAGTCTTGAATTCCTAGGTAAGACCCATGTGTTTAACTTGGAAACATGATCTAGCTCTGTAGTGTGGCTTTTGTCCATGCTTTAGGAGTCATGAATGGGTTGTGAGGTAGAGAAGACTTGAATCTAGAATCAACTCCTATGGTATACTTCATCTGTAGCTTGAGGGATTTAGTTTAGCTAAAGACCAAGCCAAGTGTGATAGAGAAACCTGACCTAATCATATTTCTTAAATGAGAGTGGAAATGGAAAGCTTTTCCACAGAAATAGTTGACCAAGCAAGATCAGATGAGTCTTCAGTATCCACTTACACTTATTACTGCTCAAAGCATACTGTAGTTGCTTATCAGTACCACAACAGTGATGTCACTTGCCTACTTGAAATGGACTTTTGAGTAGGAAAAGGGAATAGGCCAGGATGCTGCAGTGATGGGAGTCCTAAAAGCTGAAACTGTAATAGGTGACTGGGCTCACATACTTTCTCTAAAAATATCCTCCTTCTGACACCATGGAGAAGACAGTACTGGTCTTGATGAACCATTGATTTGACTCTACTTTTGCATTCCACACTGATTTTTTTACAGGATTGTTGTATTTTCTCAAATTTGTATTGAACTACAGAAATGAAAGGATGTTCTATTAGCAAAGTCTTGCAGAAATAGATCTTAATAGATTCTTCCACTAGTTTAATAGCCAGTATAGCCTTTTGGTTTTTTAAAGAAGGTGTAGGGCCTGAGCTGATGGAGTTCTGTGTGAAAGGCGTTAATTTGATCTGAAATGAGACTAAACCATGGGTTTAGTTAACTAAACTGTGCTTACTTGACTCACTGTGTGTTCTTCAGATGCTTGTGTTATGGCTTTGTAAAAACCTGGTTAAGGCTGGTAAAACTGTACATCGATTCAACAGCCTCAATCCAATTAAATAAGACAATTCAACAAGAAGTTGATAAGTATAACGGTTAGTAGACATTGAGAGTAGTTCTCTGCTAATATATTGTCACAGATCAGAAAAACTTAGAAAACTGGACATTAGTATAAAGAGTTGCAGGAAAGTGTCAGGAAACAGTTTTCAGAAAGAAAAGGATTTATAGTTCTATAATATGACCATAAAATATAATATATAAAACAAATTCCATATCTAGATTAACTATGTGTTTAGTAACAGAACAGTAGCAGCTTAAATTCAAAAAGCTAAGTTTACTGTCAGAAGTCTGAGCTGTTCTCTTAAAACTGAATTAAGCTTCATTTAGGTAGTACCAGTGTTTGATTGGTGTAGCCAAATGGTAGCCTTATTTCATACAGTTCACAGATATTCTCTTGAATTTGAGTATCTCTTCCTTTATCCCCTTGGAACAAACATGAATCGGTCACATTGGCTAATGAGCTATGGGTGTACCCTGTATGGGTAAGGTATGCTGAGGTTAATATAGTGAAACTTGGAAGTGAGGATATTTTCTTTTCATGCAGTGACCTCTGTGGGCTGAATATGTAACTCGCCTAATTCACTGGCAAAGTGTAGTCTAGTACAAAACCCCCCAAATTTTTAGATTAGAAGCTCGATTTCTGAAAGCATTCATAATATTGAAGCAGTTTGAGTACTGTTCTGGAAGGTCTAAGAACGCTACATTTCAGAGTTTGAAGTTTTAAGGTGTCTTGGAGCCCTGGATTATATGCTCTTGGCAAATGTGAGAAAGCTTAATGAACTAATCAAAAACTTTTTCTGTTTATTATGCTGCCACATTAAATCAGCACTCTAAACAGTAGATACCTTTAACACCTATAAATATTTGTCCAAAGATTAAACTATGTTTAGAAATAATTTGTCATTTACCTTTAGGTTCTAGGTGCTGACACTTTATTTGGCTTCTATACCACCTTCAGTAAAAATGGTAGATTTCTTAGAAGCACATGGATACTGTAAAGAGAGCACTAACCAAGATTAGAGGCCACAAATTTAAGTTAGGGACAATTATATTGGTTAGTAGTGGGAAGGGCACTAATTAGTTATGCAGAATGAGGCAAAATCACAGGATTTCTGTGGTCCTGGGTATTGTGACTTACTGGCTTAAAGGGGTAGTTTTGTGTTTGGTTGTGTGGTACTTCTAACATTTTGAGGGTTTGGCTAACTATTCTAGGATTCATTTCTTGTGGGGGTGCAAATAATGTGACATAGTGCTTGACAGTTTTTATTTCCTAATAGACTTTTGAAATGTTCATAGTATAAGGTATTTTGAAGTGTTGAAGGATTTTGCTAAATAGTTATGTCCTAAAAGTATGTAACCTCATAGAGAGCTGAAGATTTAAACTGGAAAATCTTGATCTGAAATTGGTCTTCTCCATTCATATCACTGGCTAATCAGTCCAGTTGATTTTGACTAGCTTTCTTAAGGTCTTCAAATTTGCCAGTTAGTGTTTGTGAAGACTTGTGTGTTAGTTTAACCCTTCACTATGTTAAAACTAGCTGGTTTAATGTCTTTTCAGATCACCTGTGCATCAAAGTAATATGACAATATGACTGTTTCAATTTAGTGACCACTCGGATAAATGTTGCAACCTCCAGTTAGTGCTGTCTTCTAGAAAGGGATGTTAAGTGATGATACTGTATTGCTATGGCTTGTTCTATTTTTTTAAAATTTGGATTATCAATAATAGAACCGTGCCTTCCATCTATAATGTACTTGCATTAATAGTAGAACATCCTCTGAAATGGAGTCCAGTGATCAAAATAGCTTTAAATTTGTTACTTTTTTGTATATATGTTTTCTGTGAACAGCTTCAGTTATTAGGTGTCATAGCTTGCTTTTATTCACTATTTGCTATGCTACCTCTTCCCTAGTGTGCTAGTCCTGTATATGACTTGCATACAGGTGATTACTTTCAGTCTTTTTATCATTGCTGAATCAAAGGTGGAACTGAAATCCTTTGAAAGGGTTGGTGCTGTAAGTCCTTTGGAGTTCACAAAACAGTAGTAGTTTATACACTGGGTAGTGAGTTTTATTAACTTTTCAGTGCTTGAAATTAAGAGCTAGAATGAGAGGAAACTAATGTTTGATTTTTTTCCTTTGAATTACTGTGCAGTAAATGAAGTGCCAATGTAACTTTGTCTCTTCACTTAATTAAATTCTTTCTCCTAGCTTTGTACTCCATCATACTGTTCTGCGTGTTTCTGTGGATTCCCTTTGTCTATTTCTATTATGAGGAGAAGGAAGAAGATGATGGCAACACGTGCTCAGTAAGTTCACTCTAGCAAATGCACGAAGAAGGGAAAAGACAAATGAATATGGGCAAAAATGAAAGCAAGAATGATTGTCTAACTTGAATACTACAATGTTAATAGGATTTCTAAGTCTGGCTACAGTTCCTTTGAAATACTGAGGCAGCTCTTAATAACACTTAGTCTGACAGTCTGTTCCAAGCACTGGTCTCACATGAAATGAAACTTTAGTGAGATAAGTAATTAACATCTGATTGCCATGAATTCTTTATGCTTCCTACAAATTCCTTTGAGCTTGATTTCATATACAGGAAGTTAAAAATTCTTACATGAGATTTTTTCCTTAGAATAGAAAACATGTATAAACAGTTTTTTTTTAAATTAGAAGACAGGAAGAATATACTGATTCTGAGAAGCAATTTGAGTACCTTCCTCCTTGTAGCATTTGCATTTTTTTCTTGAAGTAGGCAGTAGTAATTTACCTGAAGTTAGCACTTGGTTATTTTTGTAATGCACTGAAGATTTTTGACATGCATGACATTCCAAGGAATAAAATAGATACATGCCAGTAAGGTGCTAATGTCTCTAATTAAAATGCTGTTCTTAAAGAATCTTTTAATGATTGATCATGATAATTTGCCCCTCTATTCAGTTGTAACCTTAACATGAGGAAAAGACTTCTAATCATAGATATAATATAAAGCATTGAGTGTATTTGCACAGAATGAATGTATGCTGGCTTCTGGCCACAGCTGCTCAAGTGCATAGTTTGATGGAAGTATACATAATTCAATGTCATTGTTTGTAGTTCTCAAGCTATGAGACTCTTCAAGAACGTATACTTCTGACTTGTATCTAAAACTACTCATGTTTGATGTGGACCTTCTTTTGTAGAACACCTGTTATGCTAAGTATACTTGGCTGTAACTTCTTGGATAAATCCATTTGGATTTATGTTATGTTAGTATGTTAACTTTCTCTTTAATATACAGCAGGTTAAAACTGCGTTCAAATATACTCTGGGATTCATCACAATTTGTGCAGTTCTTCTCTTAATTGGGTAAGTATCTTTATTGAACATTAACAGGGCATATACAAAATAGAAGCCCAAACAGAACTTTGTTTTGTGCAAGATTAAAAAGGCAGATTAAAAGGTACTTGATCCATATAATGAATATCTACCTTAACCTCTAATAGGGTTTAAATATCCTGAGAATTAGGTACCTGAAAAGTAACAGTTTTACTGGAAGCTAAAATGGTTTACTTGTGGAGGTACATGTGTTTCCAAGTTCTGCCTGTTTGTGCAGTGTGAACATCCATGAAGGATGATAGCTATGATGTTTACAACTGTATTGATATCTCAGTGTACAACAGGCAGTAAAATATTTGTCATCTTCCTGTTTTCTGCCTCTTATCACATGCTTTCATAGACATGCCTGAATAGCTTTTTAGGAATATGAGCAGGTGTTAAGTGCTTAGTACTTTCCTAAATGAAGTGTTCTGTGGAGGACAAGTATAATGTGGTGTTATACTTGACATAGCTGTGTATGATCAAGGTTTTGCTGGCCTTTGTTTGAAAGGCAGACATTACTAAATGGTTAACTTGTTTGCAGCAAGTGCTGTTACTGAAACTCCAAGCAGTATTACAAACTCAATTTAAGATCACCATTAAGCATGACATGCACACCAGTATTGGATGTTTCTCATGTATGCTGTGTCATAAGCTTTTTGGCGTTTTGACTGCAGCAATAAAGTTGGTAAAAATCACAAAATGTATGATAAATGATCCCTATCTAAATACTGGAGTGTCAAGTAGAAACTAGAGTGAAATTAACACTTCTAATTGTATACCACCTTATTAGATTATTGATTTAGTTTTGATAAATGCATTTCTAAGTCTGTGCTTTTAATTGCAAGTAACATATTTGCTATCATGAGAGACTAAAGGAGTTTGAGTTATCTTAATCATGGTCTAGAAATACTACTAAAAGCTTCTGATGAAAGCTGTTTCTCTGACTCTTGACTCACATCATAGGTATACATTGTGTATGCTGTATAATAAATATATCCAGTTTAGAATATTTTGCAGTATCTCTAGTAGGTGTCAACTGAATCCTTAAAGCATGTTTGTTCCTCTCCTCCAATAAGATGGAACTTGGTTCTTGACTTCTGAATTGTCCTCTGTGTTCCTAGGCTTGTTGTTTAAAGTTTTCACAATTTGTAGATTACAGCAGCTTCCATGATCCCCCCAACACTGTGCCATATGATAGTGACATTGACTTGCAAATCAGACAGGTGTAGTACTTGGCCTGGGACTAAGTTACTGAACCATGCTTCTCCCATAGGTGCAGACTTGAAACCTACTGATCTAAACAGCAGGAATATCTGCTGCAGAGAGGCCAAACCCCTTTACATACTGATAGAGTTTTAGTATTATTTCTGGATTCTAATGGGAATAGTTTTTCTGCTATTATATGTATGAGGCTTCTTCCTTTCTTTTAAAATTATAATGATTAAATAGTAGTATCATCCTAATGCCCTTGGAACGGAAAAGCACCCTTGCTACTTAAGATGCTGCTACAGAAGAATATAGTTCTTGTTTGTTCCCTTTAAGGGAAGCTAGAAGACTGAACAGCTCAGTTTGGGAAGCAAATTAGGTGACTGCTGAAGAAAAAGGTAAACTTTGATTCTAGTATAGTTACATATATATTTAAAAAGTGGGTGTCTCTGTGTTTATGTACATCCTTGCTAGAGAACTTATCTGTCTTAAAGTTAGTCATCTGTCTGCACAGCAAGGGCAAACAGCAGCCTCAGAAGTCTGTGTGATAGAAAAGAGGTATGTGTTGGAGCTGAAGTTTCTACATGAGGGGCTCAACTGAGTGTGGTAGTGAAGAAGCAGTCTTGAAGTACTGCTGCCTGTATCTGGCAGTAGCAGGAAACTTTCTTGCTGGTGGTCAGGATCAGACTAACACTAAAACAGACTGAAATTTTATGTATGGAATTTAATTTTAGGAGGCTGGCTTAATGGACTAGAACACTCATGCACACAGTTTACAAGAGCAAGAGGGGCTGGAGTATTTTCTATGAAGTGCCTAGCAAATAGTTGATCTTTTTGTGCTTACATGACTGGTGTCTCATCAAGACAACCTCTGTTCTGATGGATTTAAAAGTAACGTATAATTAAAACAGGTCAGTAGCTTGGTTCCTTTGAAGATAGATCTAGACAAGAAGTCCCTACCTCTTTCCTGGTCAGTAGTCCTCAAAGAAACCATAAAAGCTATGTTAATCTTGAACTTTAGGTATATTTTATTCTTATTCTTACCTTGATGCTTACATTGCTCCATTGGAGTCTTTTGCGGTGTTTTGGGAAACACATCTGCATTAACTGAATTCTCAGCTACACCTATAAAACCCTACACTGGCACTTGTACTCTGCTCACTGTCAATGGACTGACTTGTACTGTGTCACAGTGATAAAGTGAATGGAGTTATTTATCATGGAAACTTACTCTGTTGATGGCTACTATGGCCCTCAGGCTGTGTTGACCATTTAGTTGACATAGCAAAATAGCCCATACTTCTGTCAAATTTCTTCTTGCTTAGTGTGCATGAAGAATAGGCCTAAACTGCAGTGTGCTGTGGTGCAAGGGGTGGGCTCTGTTTCAGAGATCCTTTGGGAATGTGGACGGGATGCAGATCTGTAGATGGCTAGGCATGCTAACTTGCTCTCATTCTTCTTGTGGCCTGTTGAGGCCAAAATCCTGTTCAAGTGGGCTAGTTAGCCTTTGGGCTATTTTGCTACTAGTTTGGGGGCAGGGAGGGGGAATAGGATTCCTTCTTGCCTGGGTCTAAGGTGTGTCAGTTCATAGCTTCTGCATTCCTTTGAAGCACTTGTTGCACAGAACTTGGACATCTGATTCTGTGCCTGTTCATCTCCTCCAGTCATGATATAGCTGAGTACTAATTGAAGAGTGTATATAATGGGATTCTGCTTTGATTGGTGTCCTTTGACATACTGGTTGTAGGTAGTCTCAGAAAATAATTTAAACCTTATTGCTCTTGGAGGGGGGAGGATTCAAGCAAGCTATAAATATCCTAAGATGTTTTTCCCTGCATGTGGTTCACACAGAAAATTCATACTGATCATAAAATAAAAGGACTTGAGGCCATGTAGCTTCCCAGTCTCCTATTTTAACCCTTTTTTAGCAATTAAACCTGCAGATATCTGTTATCTCTCATAAGTAGAAATTCTGCCTAACTATGTTAATACTGGTCTTGATTTTTGCCTGGATGCTATTTTACAGAGGGAAATACTGCTAGAGGCAGATATAGGAACAAAACCTAAAGTCAGCAAGCATGCATCAACTTAAGTAAATGCTTTTAATCAACTGAAGTTAAAGCCTTAATCTAGCTCTTGCACAGTCAAGAAGCTGAAAATCAAACTTTTTAAAAAAAGTTAATATTTTAATTTTTAAAGTTTTTCTACTTTGCTTGCAGAGTGCCGTTTTGGTTTTGATGTGATGATTATAAGTACATGTAGTTAGTTTAGCACTTACCTTTTGAAATACATGCATATGTTCCATACTTGAAGTTTGAGGCATGCTACTGGAAGATACATATTTGTTATGCATTTGTTTATTGGGACTTCAAGCAGGGATCTGATTACATACTCTTTCTTACAGAAATCCAAAAGATACTTGTGAATGTTGTTTTTTTATGGACTTTGGTCAAGGTCTTGCATTCCTTACCTAAAATGCTTCCCTCCAAATCTGACTTCCTTGTGACTTGTAGGCGTTCTGGTTTTATGTCTGGAAGCTACAGTTTCACATTGGTGTTGGAGGTACTTGTTTTCCAGTTGTTACAAAACTAGATGTTTTGTCTATGGAGGTGGTGGACTTTAGATGGGGCAAGTGACAGCTAGAAGCTATCACCTACTCAGAAGGCTGTTCTACCTGACATTCTTCTGAGTCCTCTTTCTTGTCTCAGCTTATTGGAAGGTCAAAAATATTTGAATTTCTCTGCCATTCTGTTCTCTGGGACAGCTACACAACAAGGAAAGGAATGCAACAAATGTGTTATTTAGTTGCAATAATGGATGATAAACATGTCCCTTTAATGCTTGGTGTGGAAATCATTAATTTTTAAGTGTGATTTATATTTGTCTCAGTTGATGCTTAAAGTCTTTACTCCTCTGTATGTGAGTCAAAACTAGGATAGTAAATCAGATTAATACATCTTCTAATGATGTTTGAGTGTGGGGTCCTTACCTTGGTTAGGACTGGTAAATAGAAAATCACTTCATTGACCTCAGACCTGATACTGCACACACATGTGTACTCTGACCTAGTACAGTCTTTGAGGGGAATGTGATTACAATGAAACATCATCTTCAGGAATAAATGGATTTCTGTTTTCTTAACTTGGAAGTAGAATTCTTCTGATACTGGATTAATTAGGGTGATAATGACTTTTTTTGCTTTGTTACAGTGCTTTTGTTCCTCTGGATATTCCCAACAAGAAGAATTCCACAGAGTGGGAGAAAGTGAAGCTCCTGTTTGAAGAATTTGGAAGTAGTCGTAAGTTTGAGATTTGTTCTGAGCTTTGTATAACTTGTTGCTGACTTATTTTGACATACTCATCGTCGAACAAGAAAACTTACTTTCTTGGTGACAATTTTCTAACTCTTAACTGCTCACCTTTGCAATGAGATTGTTCTCTTTCGTTCAAACAATGAGAACTGTCTTTCAAGTACAGAGAGGAGACACTGCCGGTGCCTGCTTTCATTACAGTCCCCATTTGACAGCAGATTCTAATGATATTAATGGTGGGGAGGGGAACATAATTCCATGGAGTCTTCACTCAACACAGCTATTAAATGTTACTTGGATATCCTAAAATCAGTGAACTTGAGTATGGCGAGTGTCTATCTTATTATATGATGTTTTCCAAGTGCTTACCTATTTAATGTGGTGCTGCTGTTCACAGCAGTATCACATGAGACTTTCATAAGTGGTTTTGTCTATTTAGACAGGAAAATCCTATGGGTCTTATGATTTTTTTTTTCCCCTTTGCTCCTAGTATTTACCTCTCCTAAAATTGTTTTGTTTGCATTTGTTATACTTCTTATGCTAGGGAAATAAAGAACTATTCTGAAAGCCAAACTCCATTAAGTTGTATTTCATGTTTAGCTTATGCAGTTCATGTATTTAGGGTATATTTTCAGAGCAAAGATGTGAAGAAAGTGTTTTATATGTGAGCTTAGACTTGATATCACTTTCCAAATGTATCCAGAAAAATGGTAAATGAAAGTTACTTAACAAACACTAATCCAAATGCATAACTGTACAAATATTTGTGTGTCACTCTTCTGTGTATCATCAGAGATTTGGCTGCTCTCTGAATGTTTTAGGGTATAATGCTACAAGCTTTGATCCAGTAGTATCCTGCATTATTCTAGGAATTTTGTACTGACTAAAAATTCCCTGCTATGACACTTGCCAGCTCTGTCAACACTTGATATATCCCTTCAGGACCGATCAACTTTGTATGTCCAGTTTCTGTAACCTAATACTCTTCCATCAAGGGTGCATCTTCCTTACAACCTTTCCCCTGGTCTGTCAGGCCTTTTTCCTGAAGTCTGGTATTGCTGGTAAAGACTGAGTCAAAGATGACATGCAGTACTTCAGCCTCTTTGTAGAATCATAGAATGCTTTGGGTTGGAAGGGGCCTTAAAGATCACCTAGTTCCAACCCCCTGCCGTGGGCAGAGACACCTCACCCTAGAGCAGGTTGCTCAAAGCCCTGTCCAACCTGGCCTTGAACACTGCTAGGGAGGGGGCAGCCACAGCTTCTCTGGGCAACCTGTTCCAGTGTCTTGCCACCCTCACAGTAAAGAATTTCCTCCTTAGATCTGATCTAAATCTACTCTCCTTCAGTTAAAAACTGTTACCCCTTGCCCTGTTTCTACCCTCCCTGACAGAGTCCCTCCCCATCTTTTCTGTAGGCCTTCTTTAAGTACTGGAAGGCTGCTATAAGGTCTTCTCAGAGGTTTCCAGGCTGAACTCTCTCAGCCTGTCCTCATAAGGGAGGTGCTTCAGTCCCCTGATGATCTTCATGGCCTCCTCTGGACCCACTCAAGCAGGAGTAGAGGGGGAGAATGACCTCCTTTGACCTGGTGGCCACACTTCTCTTGATGTAGCCCAGGATGGTTTTTTGGGCTGTGAGCACACATTGCTGGCTCATATCAAGCTTTTCATCCACCAATACCCTTAAGTCCTCCACAGAGCTGTTGTCAATCCACTGATTGCCCAGCCTGTATTTGTGTTTGGGATTGCCTTGACCTATGTGCAGGATCTTGCACTTGGCCTTGCTGAACTTTGTGAGTTTTGCATGGGTCTGCTTCTTGAGCCTGCCTGGGTCCCTCTGCATTCCATCCCTTCCTTCCAGTTTGTTGTCCACATTACACAGCTTGGGGTCATCAGCAAACTTGCTGAGGGTGCACTTAATCCTACTGTCCATATTACCAACAAAGCTGTCAAATAGCACCAGTCCCAATACTGACCCCTTAGGAATGCCACTTGCCACTGCTCTCCACTCAGATGTCTATCAAGCTATTGGTTGAACTGAGAGAGTTATGGTCATCCAGCCAGTTCCTTATCCACAAAATGGTCCATCCATCAAATCCATGTCTCTCCAATTTAAAGACAAGGATGTCATGTAGGACAGTGTCAAATGCTTTCCACAAGTATGCATAGATGATATCAGGGATAAGAGATAGAGATAAGAGATAGATGCTCTTCTGTTATCCACTAATGCTGTAACCCCATTGTAGAAGGCAACCAGATTTGTCAGGTGTGATTTGCTTTTACTGAAGCCATGTCCTGTGTCATCAGGGCCCTTGCCTCACTCAGCAACAGGCCCTTGTTTTCCTTTTTCCACTTACATACTTGAAGAAGCCCTTGTTGCCTTTGACACCCTTTCAGAGTCTTTCATCATATGTGCTTTGCGGTAAGCTCTGCTTGCAAGCATAGGAGATAGGGAGGGCAAGTGCATAGCTCTTTCAGAATTTCAGCTGTCTGCTTGTTTGTGTTTCTCTTGCTTCACAAAAATTCTGACAGTGTAGAATAAAATGTTGCTTTAACTCTTTATCCAGGTAGTGACAGTAGTTGAGATGTAAGGTAATTTTTCTAGGCTGCCTTGATGTGGCTGTCAAATATTCAGATCTGTACATGTCTTTGCTATAGAAGTGTAGTGTAGCTGATGTTATTTTTCTAGGAAGTTTTAATCATTAAGATGCTAGATTTGGCTGTGGAAGTCTGGTTTTGATTTCTGACTCTACCAGCATTCCCTTGTAACTTTTAATCTCATAGGATAGCTAAGGCTAAACAGACTTCAGGTCACCTAGTCCAGTGTCCTGCATGCAAGAAGGTATAAGGTCAGACCAGGTTGCACAGAGCTCTATCAGCTGGCTCTTGAAAAATCCCTAGGAACGGAGACTTTAATCTCATGGTGAAAAAAAAAAAAAATTATCCTCTTATCCAACATGGGTATGATTGCCTTACACTCAGCTGCTGTGCAGCACTGAAGAGCCTGGTCTCCACCTCTTTGATAAGCAGACAGGCTATATTAGGTCTCTCCAAAGCTGTCTCTGTTCCAGCCTGAACAAGCCTGACTCCCTCAACATATCTGCATAGCATGTGATACAACCCCTGACCAATTTTAGCTCTCCCTTAACTCTCTCAGATTTATCAATTTTGCCAGTAGTGGGGACCTCAAAACTGGTTATGGTATTCCCTGTATGGTCTGTTCCCTTAATAGATGGGCGTGCTCCTGTTGGTACAGTCCAGGATGCTGTTGGACTTCTGTGCTGCTACAGCACACTGGTTTATCTTCAGATTGCTGTCTGTCAAGACTCCCCCCACCCCCCTCCAGGGTTCTTGTAGAGCTATTCTACAGCCATCAAGTCCCCAGTCAGAATGGTTGCAAAAGGTTGTTTTGTGCTCCAGATGCTGGAGAAATAAGGACAAAATCCTTCTGTGTTGTCTCTATTTCAACCTGTTTTCCTGTTCTTATATTAACTTAGCCTTTTCCTTTGTCTTTCTGCAGTTAACCCAGAAATACAAAGATCTTAATTTTGGATGTTTGTTTTATGTCTATTCAGTTGTAGTGGGATTATAAAAGGAATGCAAACTCACCCACAGAGGCAGAGCCTGATAATATACTTCTGGTATACCATTATCAATTTTTCAGTCAGTTTCTTATTGTTCCATTGAACATAATTTAAACTTTTAAAATGGACATCAAATGTTGGATTCAAATACATGTACAGGAGGATCATCAAATATGGTTTTTATGTTATGTAATATGTTATAAAAAGGGGTCAATTATTTGTGTGGTTTATCCCCTAAAATTCAGAACATAGGTAAAATTTTCACAAGTATTGAAGGGGAAATAGTGCTGAGTTTGGGTGTTTTTTTATTTTCAGTTATAAACATAGCTGTAGTATTTGAAACTTATATACATACCGTTGTTACTTTTAGGGAAGTTATTTGGTATTATCTAGCAAAAATGGTTGGACTAGATGATCTTCAAGGTCTTTTCCAACCTAGATGATTCTGTGGAAAATAACAAAGTAAAGGTTTGAGCTGTGAAGTTGGATTTAGTTGTGCTATTCAATTAGTTTTTGGTATTTTTGGAAGGAGTCCTGTAGGATTTGTCAGAAGAAAGATTCGGCTTCTGAGAGGATAACTATAACAGTATTTTTTCAGTTTGTGAATATTTGATGTTATGTTCAAGAAAAAAGAATGGAAACTCGCTAATAATTCTATGTGAGTAAAAAAGTCTATTGTGCTCTAAATTGCTTAATTAACTAGAGGGGAGGGGAAGACATAGGGGAGATCCCTAAATAGTAGCCTAGTTCTTATGACTGGGTGCAAAATTGAGAATGATTGCTTAAAGTTAATTTGGATGATAGCTCCTATAAGTTTCTATGCTACTATTTAATCAAAAAATCTTGCCATGTTGTGGCCTGCATAGTGAGTGTAGAGACAGGTCTGCTGTGAAAAATTATGTAGAAGGATTCAGGGAGTTTGCCTTTGGGGATGAGCTTGCTGAGACTTTTATTTATCCCTTTTCATTTCTAGAGTCATAGTAAGGCTACAGCAATTCCTTAGTCCTCTGACCTTTTTCCAGTTTATATATCTGGCTGTATGTGGTCTGAGTGAAGCTGAGGCCTGTAGTCTGGCTTGTTTGGTTGTTTGAAGGATCAGTGCTTGCTTGATTCTCCTGTTAGTGCTTTATGGTTAGAAAACAGGTGATAACAAACAAAACCAAGATGAACCATCCAGAATGCATGTGTAAAATTGCCATAGCACCCTGTGGAGGCCAGAAATAAGTCTTGAAGAGACGTTATGCAGCTGTGGGAGCAAGTTCACTAGTGGCTAGTCAACCACTTGACTGAATGCAACATCTGTGAACTTATAGCAGAGGTGAGATGGCTGTCCTATTCTTGCAGTATTGGAAGAGGATCTACTGCTGACAAAGCTAGTGAAGTTTTCATCTGAGTTATGGCTGGCAACTACATCTCAATTTTTTTTCCTCCTTAATGAACTTAAATGTCTTCAGGAAACCAATTCAGGAATAAATGTTCTTATACCTCCCCTGTAGGAATTTTCAACAGGCTTTTTTTTTTTTTTTTTCAGATGGTTTGACTGCTCTTTCGTTTTCCATTAGTTCCTTGACTGTGATTGGAATGTTGGCAGCTATCACTTACACAGTAAGTTATGAAAATTTCAGCCCTTTACTTTCATACTTGCAGTTATTACAAGCTATACCTGTACAGGAAACTGTCATACTAAATAGTTTCAACAGTGTTTTCTAGCTCTGGGTTTTCATGGTTTGAAACACTACTGAGTTCTTGGAATGAGAGGAATAACTTTTTTACCGCACACTTAAGAACCACTTCAGTACTTGAACACAGATCAAAATTAATTTTAATGTGTTTCTACAATGGGAGGTCACATTATACCTTATGACTTGTAACACATTTACTGGCTCCTCCTGTTTTAAACTTCTGTCTCTTTTTCTGTCCATCCAGCAGTGGAGAACTAAATATTGCTTTATGCATTGAAGTATGGTGTAACCTAGACTTGGTCTGGTCAATTGTGATGGTCTGATGAAACCATAATTAATGTCTCAAACATTTGATAAAGAAGTTTGTTAAAGGAAACTGTTTCTATGGAAACACCAGGGCTGTGCAGATAATGGTGGGAAGATGCAGTGAGAGGAAGGGGTCCTGCAGAGGTGGGACCACACATTTCTGATGCTGAACTTTACAATCTTGAGCAACTGTATAAAGAGCCAATAAAGAAGCCATTCACATGACATGTGCCAAGAAGAAAGGTCAGAAAATGGTCATACTTGCTGAGAGGGGGAGTAATTCCCCAGTGGCCCCCAGGCTCCCCCACCGACCCATTTCCAGAAGAACCTGAAGGTACAAACTATGTATGCACCAAAGCAAGAATTTGAGAAGCCTAGGGTGTTCATGATGCCTGAGTAGTCTAATGAGTCCAAGTGCCCACCTGGAAGAGGGCAAGGAATTATGAGAGGATGTGATTCAAAGCCCCAGGTGGCTGTGCCTTTCGAACTGGACCCTTAGGCTGGCTAGACCAGTGCTGGAACTAGGACTGGTGAAACCTTTTCTTATTTGTCTTGTTCTCTCACTCTCTTACTCTTTCTTTCTCTCCTTCTCTCTCTCATTTTCTATCTCTGTATTTCTGCATGTTAAGGCAGGGCTTGTCCATGCATGTTTGCAGCTTGTTGGGGCATGTTATAAGATATGCTGTTAGTCTGTGTATGTTGTAAGGTTTGTTGGTGTGTTACGAGGTTTACTGCTTGTTGCAGAGGTTGTAAGGCTTACTGACAAAGTTTCATGTCAGTATCTGTTGTGAGCAAATAAAAATAGTGCTATGAATTGAAGAATCCTTGGTCTTGTTTCACCTTAATTCTAAACTGGGAATTGGCAAATCTGAGTTGTCATACCAAGTAATTGGGATGTGACATCAGTCTATAATACTGAATTTACTGTGACTTTTCTAAGTTGATGTTTTTATCTCTACAGAACTCTACAATGAAAAGTTTGGCAGAATAAATTTATTTATAAAAAAGTATGCACAATATGCTCAGTCATAGTGTTTTCTTTTTGTAAAAGGCTGTTCATTCAATAAATGAAAAAGCTATGTCTTTAACAGGGCATAGATTCAGAGCTGTATTTCTAGAATTTGAGTAAGAGTAGATATCTGTGCAAGTTGGGATTCAGTTTTAGCTATAAAAATCTGTAGTATCTTCTGTGATGTGTGCCTTAAATCAAGAATAGCTAAAAGTTAAAAGTAGTTTGAAACCGTTCAGAGGCTTGTTTTTTAAAGCCTCAGGAATATTCTGATTAGCCCCAAGCATGCAACTAAATTATTGTACTCCTTTCTGTGGCTTAGAAGGGTTTGAAAGTGTTCATTCTGTAACTGATTGTAAATCATACCATTAAGGCTATGTTAATTGAACTGCTTGTCTCTTGCTTTTACGTGGAAAGGTAAGGAACCATTTTAACTTAGTAGCTTTGACCAACACTTGGTGTTCATGTGGTCACCTGCTTTTTTCCAATCTGTTCTATTCCTTCAGTCACTGAATAATCAGCCTGTTTTTAATGCTATATGTATTAACTTGTCATCAAGGTAAAATTTTGCAATAAAAATAAGGCTTTGAAGCCTAAGATAACTTCAGACAAAGCTTTAAAACTTCTGAGGAGTCAGTGTTTTCCTGATAGCTTTTAATCTTTAAAGTCATGTCCTTGCTAAAATAACTTTCTCTTCTGTTGCAGCCTGGCTCTAACACAGTGAAATTGTTCCCACATAACTTTGCTAGTGAATTTTAAGTGGCTCCATAACAATAGTTCATGCAATAAGTTATTTTGAAGCATTGCTAGCTAAGGAAGTGTTTTCTGCTAGCTTGTCAGGCAAAGGATAAATAGATAAAATTGTTGTAGAACAAAGATATAAGAAAGAGGGAAGAGTGTTTTAGTCATAACTGGGTAAGGGGGTAAAATACCTGCTAAATACTACCTTTAGACTCTTAAACAAATCTAAATTGAATAACAAGCATAGCTGATTTTCTTTCTCTTTATAGTAGTGACTTCAGCTGGTGTAAATTACAGCAGGATTATGGGAGGCAATTCAGTACAGGTTCTCAGAACACTGGCAGCTCAGTGATCAGGCTCTGTGCAGTAAGGTAGGATGACAATTTGGTGGGTCAGCTAGTAGGCATCTCAGGTGATCTGAATTGCTTTCAGCCCACTAAGTGCTTTACCTTGACCCAAATCATAAATTTTATTACTTTAAGCCTTTTCTGACTGACATGGTTCACTAAATCATTCAGGCTATATTGCTGACATCTAGATAATGTGCTAGTCAAAACAGATCCAGACCTTTGCTTATCCTGTAATAACATGTCAGCTTTTAAATTTGTTTCCCTTAATTATGGAAGGGAAGATTAATCTCTTGTTCAATTGCATTACTGCAGAGCACATGTAGTGTTTTTTAACCTCCATGAGATAACATTAAACCAAACTCATTAGCTGGGAGAGTATCCTCAGTGTTGGCTTTTCAAAGAGCTACCCAAGTATGGTTTTATAACTGTTAGTAAACATCCATAAGCATCTAAATTGCAAGACTGTTTTATCTTGCACATTTATTGCTGAATGAAATGTAAACGATATTTTTTAAAGTAGCATTTGGAAGTTTAACATATTACTGATGTTTCTTGCTTCTGATGTTATCATATTTCCCTATTTATTTTTGAGCACAGATTAATAGTGGCACCATTCAGCGGAGTATCACAATATGATTCTGTCCTCAGAACTAGCTGAACCTGGAAATATGTGACTTCCATTTAATGTTCAATAACCTCAATGTGTGCTGGGTTGTCTTTGGTTTCTCAGATGAAGACAATACCTCTGTCCTCAATGTTGTTACCTTAGTCTTGCTGTATTTAGGACTTGTACAAAAATACTGGGTGGGATATAAGGCAAAACGTCAAGTATGATAACTAAAATAGTCTTCTCTGAAAACCTTAATTACTGAGATTTTAGGCTAATTTGTTGCTTTGAAAACTCCCATTTAGCTGTCCATGCAAATGCCTGGAGCATGAAATTACTATTTACTTTGCTTTTAACTGCTGTATTTGATCCTTCTGAAACTATCCATTCTGTTTTACAGTAGGTGTTAAGGCAGGGTGGGAGAAATAGAGCAGCTGTTTCACAGAAGTTTTAGGGATAAGCTCACACAGGAGGTGGTGGTTGTCCACCTCAGTGTGTTTTGTCATTGTTTGCAGGCAATTGTAGAATCTTATGCTGAAACAGTGAGCTGGCTTTGATACATGGGTAGGCTGAGGTACAAATGAGTCAATGAAAACAACTTATTTGAAGCTCTGTGTTCTCAAAGTTGTGCAGGAATAGGCTTTTTTATGCTCTAGTGCTATTATAACACTGCCTACTGCCAGTGATGGTCAGGCTCCCATATGTAAGCAATTTCTACCTGCAACAGCATGAGCAGTGCAGCTCTCATGATCTGAAGAGTGAATTGCAAGTGTGACCTTGACTGTATGTGAATGCCATGTACCTGCATTCCAGTTTATATTGTGGGCTGGGCTTTTCCCAGGGGTATGACTTAAGGCAGTAGTTACTGCAACAATGAAAAATTCCTAGACTGTCATGTTTCCTGAAGCTTTATGAAGAGGTTGGCTCAGTCTCTACTAGTTTGGATTACTCTTCTTCCTCCACTTGGGAAGAGAAGCATGATTCTGAAAGGAGTAACTGTTTTTCTTCTGGTAACTTCCCACTCCTCTGCATTGCGGGGCTTTTTGCTGTATTAGTCTTGCATAAATAAAATCACCTCTAGATAAAACAAAGGCACTAGTGCACAGGCAAGTCTGTAAGACATTGTTTGTAACTCTTGCCTCTGACTTTAGACATCTGACAAGTAGTTAAGCTCCTGTGTTTTTCAGCCGGACTTTTGCATGCCTATCAAGTTGTTTGTCCCAGTTCCTAAAGGTGGGAGGCCTTTGTGCTTAGTCATCAAACCACTGTTTGATAATGAATGGTGATTTTTTTTTTTTTTTAGCACAAAAAGAGAATACTTTTATGTAAGGGTGAACACAAGAACAAAGACAGCTACTTCAAATTTTTCCTCAAATACTTAGCAGATGATTGTAAAAAAGGGTAGAGAATAGATGGGGACATGATGTGTGGTATCTGAGTTTTCTTATCTCTGAACATTGGTGATCTCAGCTCTTTGGTTTATACTAGTGAAGAGTTGAGGACTTGTAGTACAGTCATAACTGATTTTTTTTGATGTTTCTCTGACTTCTGAATAGCCTTAGTCTGCTCCATTGCCAGTGTTGCAAATGTACTGTTAAAGGGAAGCTTAGAACAGGTGTTTCTGGTTTTCTGTATACTCATATTCACCTTCTTATTCTACAGAAAAAAAATCTATTTTGAATGAACACTTCCTGAAGGTTGTATAAGTGATGTGTTAGCAAATGCTTTCATAGCTAATTAAGAACAGTTTTACATTGAATGCCTACTTTCAGTATTTTGTGTTACAGTAGTAATTACAAATGCTGTGCCTGCATTGACTGCAGTTGACTGATTTAATCTTAAAATGTTATTTGTGGGAGAAGACCATGAAACAGATGAATCAAGTGATTCTATTTAAGTTGCTTGGAGTA